GCTTGATAGTTCATCTAGCCTTGCCTTGAGCTCAAAGTTTTCCTTCTCTAGTTGTGAAACACTAGAAGAGGAGTTAGTAACTAAAGCATGCTCAATTGATATTTTTTCATACGTTTCACTTAGAGCCTTTAGTTCTTCCATCTTGGAGATGAGAAACAATTCTTGCTTTTGAAGTGATTGCTCTTGCTTCTCAATCTCTTCTTCAAGCTCTTCATTCTTTTCAACTATCTTCATGATGATAAACTTGTCTTTGCGGTTGAGATGATCAAGGTTGTAGTTGTCTTCAACTTTAACATCACTCTCATCTTGATCATCTACTTGTGCTTTCTCCTTTTCTTGATCTTTCTTGTTACTCTTTTTCTTACTTTTATTGGCCATGAGACACAAGTGATGAGTATCATGAGATACTAAGATTGACTCATCACTTGGTCGCCACCGGGCTTGAACATCGTTGCAAACAGCTGCTTGCTGCTCTGCTGCCTCGACCATACCAGACCGGTATGTGCAAGCAGACAGCAAGTCATGCACTGCTTGCACTTCTTGCTCTGGCTCGGCGCTCTTGAGGTCTTGTGAGGCTTCTTCGCTGCATGAAGACACAATGGACATACTTTCTATTGACTCGGTCTCAAGTGCATCATCACATTTGGATTTTCCATATAAATCAAAAGGTCTAGTCCAAATGAGATGAGCACTCTCCAGAGGTGGTTGTCCATTGAAGATTGCCTCAACCTGAACCTCTGCACTCAATGTACTCAAAATAATATTAATAGCTTGAGCATTGAGTTGCACGCATATCTCTTCCTCTTTTGACAAATTTTTGTAGTTGCTCCAATCAACTATAAAAAGAGGTATGCTTGCATCCACAATATGCTCAACAAGAGGACTAATATCTCTAAAAGCGTTGAGTACATGTATTGACCAAGGTAGAAAGTTTGAACCATCATTTTGGAGAAGCACGGACTTCAACTCGATAGGCGTCAACATCCTTTTCTCACGACGGTGAAGTTTTAGGTGAGAACCTTGCTCTGATACCAATTGAAAGGACCTAGGATGTCGCCTAGAGGGGGGGGGTGAATAGGCGTTTCGAAAATTAACACCTTTAAATGTGGAAACAATTAGAAAAGGGAGTACCACGAAGGTCAGCCCTAGAGGGTACCACGAAGGTCACTCTAGCCGGAGTCTTTTCCAACTCATTTTCCTCTTTCCACTAGTTGATTCCGAGACGGCGGAATCGACCGTTACAAACTTTCTGAGGCACACCATAATCTCTCGGGTGCTCTCTGGCGACGCCTAACTGTCTAGGACCAAAGAGTCCAAGAGTAACGAATACGAATCACGAGATTGACAATATGCACAAGTGCTCAATTGGTTGGATTGCTCTCTTTTTGAATTTCACTCAACCCACAATATGATTTGGCAAATTTGATCAATCACTCACTAAGAGAGGGTTGGGAGAGTTGGCAAGGCTCAAAAACGTGTATGTGTATCAGCAGAATCAGTAGCCTCCAAAGGTGGAGGCTTGGGGGTATTTATAGCCTCTTTGGAAAAACTAGTCGTTTTATAGCCGTTGCCATATGCCGGTATGACTTACACTGCCCCAATGGTAACTAAGTTACAGTGACAATGTGAGGCGTCGGAACTCCTGATGAATGTCGGAATTCTCGACCGTCAGAACTCCCGACTCACGTCGGAACTCCCGACCCTCAGCATATTTGAAAACCATGTAACTGAGTTAAAATATGTGAGGTGTCGGAACTCCCGACTCATGCCGGAACTTCTGACCGTCGAAACTCCCGACCCTGAAGGCTTTTGAAATCTAGCCGTTGGCTTCTGGCCGTCTATACCGGACACGTCCGGTATGACCAGGACAGTGAACCCTCTAAGTCAGTTAAGCGCGAAACATTGGAACTCCCGACCTATGCCAGAACTCCCGACGAACCAACTCGAGAACAATAAGAATTTTATCGTGGTTTGGCACATACCGGACACGTCCGGTATCGGTATTACCAGACCAGCAAAACACAAGTTAGCTCTTTTGTCTCTCAAACACTCAAAACTCATATGAGTTGAATTGAGCACTTATGAAACATTATCTATCAACATGATGCATCCCTCTTAATAGTACGACATTTCTATTAGCTCAAATTTAAAAGTATAACGAATTTAAACCTTTTGAGTTGATCTCTTTCAACCGAAGCCGTGTATTCCAATCTTCATCAAGTGAGGGTGCTAACATGTCAACTTTGATCTTTTTCACTTGAGCATAGCTATCTTGAGCACGTGACTTGATTCCATTCATCAAATTTGAATAATCCCAAATGTATCAAGTCACTTCCATCAAACACTCCAATAGTGATTTGATCCTTCACATAAACATGACCATCATAGCTTGATTAGTACCTCAACTAAATGCAAGTACTTTCTTCTTCATCCTAGCTAGGTTCTTCGGCTGCCAAGCCGTCGCTTGCCCTTCACCCTTGCTTAGTATCTCGAAGCCTTTCCTTGCTATCTTCACCATCTCAAGCCATCAAGTCACATCTTGTGTTGAATCATCTATTCATGTATTGTTATCTTTTTCATTTCAATTTAGCAAGCTTTAAATATGAGACCATTCCATATGCAATCCCTCATGTCTCATTAATTAATTCTTACGAGCTTGCTTTCACATAGTATATGGAAATCCCACAATAAATAAGCCTTTGCATAAATTCCATTTGTATTGTTGTCTTGTGTTTGAACTAGATTGTTTATACAACAACACATCATTTTGGCTTTCATTAAGTACCTATGAGATAACCTATTACCTATCTGCACTTAGCAAACGGGTTAGACCTTTAATCACGTTGTCATTCAATCATCCAAAACCCACTAAAGGGCTAGATGCACTTTCACTATCGACTAAAGAGTCGATACCTAGCAATAAAGCAATTGAGATAAACATCATCGGCTAAACAAAGCATAATCGAAACAAAGCACTTAGCCGACAAGTTTGATGAAAAGAGCATAACATGAAGACAATCATCTATTTTAACATAAACAAGTTTATAAACCGTCTAGATCTAGTTCATTATCGTTATCAAACAGTTCAAAGATGATGCAGCATTGATAAAGACAATAAAATAAAGCTATCTGACTTAAAAGCCTCATCTCAAAATAGATTCTCGCAAACATGCTATGAAAGTGAAAGCGCAAGCTATCGGCTATTTAGCCGGTGCGGCATAGGTTATGTATAACATGCGATCAGTCAACTATTTAATACGAACAAATCTATAGACTAGCCAGATCTAATCTATTACCACTACAAAATAGTTCAATTTGATGCAATGTTGGCAAAGATAGCAAATTAGACCTAACAAGCCAGTAGATTTATCCATAGTTCAATAGAATCGTGAAAACTTGTTATAAGCATGCAAGCACAAGCCATCGGCTATATATACCCGACCTCCCCTTATATATCGAGGTAGGTCGGGTACATGGTGGTTTGTAGGAGTTAGCATATGGTCTACATGGGCCGGTATCTAGGAGCGTCTTGCAGCGGCGTGGATGGACCTTGGCGTTGTCGTGGAGCCGAAGAAGCTCTGGGTGTCGTCCGGCTCCTCTATTCCGGCACGCTGAGTGTCAGTCTTTGTTGGCTTGGACCGGCCTCCACCAGGTGCATCTTTTGGAGGCTTCTTGGCGGTGAAGGCATCCGGCTTGAGGGGATGACGAACGGGCCCGGAAGCCCCCGAGCCCCTGAAGCCAACGAAAGGATTTGTCCCGTTGTGTCACGCCTTGTGCGTGACTCTGTTAGAGGAGTGGTTGACAGCGTTGCGCCTGCTGGGCAGCACTAGGGAGCCCCCGAGCTACGGAAGCTTGGGGCGCTCGTCTCCGGCCCGAGCATTGGCTAGTGATGAAGGCCGGGAGGGGGCCAATGATCGGGGTCACACTCCGGTCGATCGGGAGTCTGAGGCTAGGGTGAGCCCCCAAGTTTCGAGACAAAGGCGGAGGGCGTGCTCGGGCTCAGCCCAATCTTTAGCCGGAAGGTGCATGCGAGCACCCCTGAGGGGTGTAGCCCCGGAGCCTCCGGGCGATCCTGGAGGGATCGGTCGCGAACCTTTGATCCTGAGGCTTAACATATCCTATGTTAGGATCTCGTCAGCTATTCATGTTTGCCTATCTTCGCATATCCTGATTCTTTCCGCCAAAAAAATTTAGAAATAAAAACAGAAGATAGGTTTTTCTGCTTGTTTCCGCATGTTTTCATTCCTACAACCACCTAGGTCATGTTTATTTAGAACCTATTTGAATTCATGATGTTTTTTATTTTGTGCTATTTTTTCTATGAAAATAAATTGATTTGAATAAAAAATTATATAATTTCCGAGGCACTTGAGTTTCCGCTGCGTGCTATGCCGGCGAGCGGCGGCCACGAAGACACGAACACCTGGCGACGTCGGAGCTACCCGGTGCCTAAGTACAAATAAGCCCCCCCTGACCCGGGCCAGGGTCTCTACCGCACGCCCTGCCGCGCGCCCGCGCCCTAGCTCGCGGCCTCGCGCCCTATCCTCGCAGGCTCGCACCACAATCACACGAGCAGACAATCACCAACTCCCTTTCTGTCTTTCGCTTTCACTGCTCACCATTTCGCGTCCTTGCCTCGCCCTCTCGCCGTCGCGGGCGCCTCTTTTTCACCTCCCTCCCCCCATCTGCCACGCACCTTTGCAGAAAGAAAGGCGCCCCGAGGTAGAGGTAGAAGAGGTAGAGCCCGGTAGCCGAACACCTCCACCAACAGCAAAGCACCACCACCAGAGCCGAGCGCACAAAAGCGCGCGGCCGGGACGCCGGGACAAAGCAACGGGCAGACTGTACTGCCCGCTGCTGCAGCTACCCTTCCAGCCCCGGCCAGGCGCTCGCAAAGTGCGGAGCCGTCCTCTTCGCTCGTGGTCTCTCTCCGCGCTCTCGCTCCAGGTCGTGTACGACCCGCCCGTCCGTACGGACCCCGGCGCTCGTGCGCGGGCGACATGTCTTCGGCGGCGGGCGGTGGATACGGAGCCGGCGGCGCCGACCACCAGCACCTGTTGCTGGGGCAGGCCGCGGGGCAGCTCTACCACGTGCCGCAGCACAGCCGCCGCGAGAAGCTGCGGTTCCCGCCCGACCCGGCCGACTCGTCCCCGCCCACTGCCTGGCCGGCGCCCCCACCCTTCTACTCCTACGCGTCCTCGTCGACGTCGTCCTACTCGCCGCATAGCCCAACGCTGGCGCACGCGCAGCTAGTAGCGCACGCGCTACCTGCAGGCGCGCCGGGGCCCAGATCCCAAGCCAGAACTTCGCGCTCTCGCTCTCTTCGACGTCCTCGAACCTCCGCCCGCGCCGCGGAGGCAGCTCGCCGCGGGGCCGTACGGCCCGTTCACGGGCTACGCGGCCGTCCTCGGGCGGTCCCGGTTCCTGGGCCCCGCGCAGAAGCTGCTCGAGGAGATCTGCGACGTGGGCGGACGGCCCCCGCACCTGGACCGGCGCTCCGACGAGGGTATGCTCGACATGGACGCCATGGACGTGGCGGGGGACGTGGACCACGACATGGACGGCGGTGACCGCGCTACCGCTGAGGCGGTCGCTGTCTGCGGCGCCGAGCAGCAGTGGAGGAAGACCAGGCTCATCTCCCTCATGGAAGACGTGAGTTAATCACTACGATCCGCCTTCCCCAGCTTCTTGATCCTTCAAAGAAAAACACGCCTTTTTCTGCTTTTGTTTCATATCGCAATTATTTCTTCTTCGGCGAGAAGAATCTAACGAACACACCTCATGGTCACGTCACGGAGCCCACATCCTGGTTGAATCTTTATTTACTGTTCTGGCACAGCTTATTTCTTGTGCTTGTGATTTGATGATAGTAGATATGGATTGTGATTCGAGCTCTTTCGGATATGTTTCTTTGGTTAATATATGCATGAAATCATTGTTCTGCACTGTTGATGTTGAGCGGTTTCCATTCCTTTTCATTTTTCCCTTGTGAAAACTAGCAACTTGCTGTGAAGTTCTTGATGAACAGAATTGCTCAGCAGTTCAAAGCATGAAATTGGAACATCAAAATATATCAGGGTTCTCTAGTTTTATCCGATCCCGTAGAAACTTTCAAAATTGCTACTCGATAAGATTCCTAGAGTTTTTTGTCTTCTTTCGAAAGGATGCCATATGCATCAGTGTAACCTGAAGAAAGATTCTGTTTATCTGGTCACCACTCTTTTGCTAAAATAATTCTATTGTTCACGGTTGTAATTTTGCCAGGCAAAGTACAGTACGTGCTAGCATCTTGATTCCTAACATACACTTTGGTGCAGTCTTGTCTAACGGAGGAAAATAAATTCTTGCTATGTCCTATATATGCTGAACTTCCTGAGTTTGTTGGCTGCACTAAGTAGTTATTAGTTAAGTACTAAATTTTGGGTGTGCTCTACCTTTAAACTCAGAGTCCATGAACCTTGCAGGTTTGCAGGCGATACAAACAGTACTACCAGCAGCTGCAATCTGTTGTCTCCTCGTTCGAGACCGTTGCGGGGCTGAGCAACGCGGCCCCCTTTGCTTCCATGGCTCTTCGGACAATGTCGAAGCATTTCAAGTGTCTGAAGGGGATGATAATGAGCCAGTTACGGAACACAAGCAAGGTCGTCGCCAATGATGGTATTGGCAAGGACGATATGGCAAACTTTGCGCTTATGGGTGGTGGAGCAGGCCTCCTGAGGGGAAACAATGTGAACGTGTTCGGCCAGCCTCACAACATTTGGAGGCCTCAAAGAGGGCTTCCTGAGCGTGCAGTGTCTGTTCTTCGCTCATGGCTGTTCGAGCACTTCTTACATCCGTAAGTATATGAATGTCGTATCTGCTGATCTTGTTATCTTTGAAGTATTTTGGTTTTGGTGAAACTGATATTACAAAACATGATACATAGTCACATGTGTACTTGTAGTTGCTATTGAATTCGGGTGTAGAGCAGGAGTACTTGAATCTGGTAACCATTGGGTAGAAAAGACATGTCATGATGATATGCTGCTTGCGCAACATGATGATTACTATTAGTGAGAGAATCATGAAACAATGCGAGATACGGGATAAATGCCTACATAGTTCCAACCGAACCAATGGCCAAATTCTTTGCTTTATTGGAAGTTTTTTTTTTCTTGTGCATGCACTTATTTTTTTGCCAGTGGTAAGTGCACAATGGCCACTGCTAGTGATAAGTCCAAGTTATGTTTTCACGGTTGAGAAGTACTATGCTTGAAATTTTCTTTTGAGTCGCAAATCGTGAAATATCATTGATGTTAGTTCATTACTATCTGATTACATATTCTTTCCTCAAATTGTTAATAGATGTGCATTGTTTAAGATTTCCTCGTGGAGCCCACTTGTTAGTTCATCCTTATTGTACTTTGTACAGCAGCTTGAAAAATCCTTATATGCAACAACCTTAGACATGTACAGAAGTCTAGGGTAATGTTGTCATTATACTTGCAGTTTTTGTGATCGCCCTCTGGGGCCTCCTGTGCATCCAATGGTGGATGCACATGGGGGCACATGCCCTTAAGGGCAAAACTCCGTGTCCTCGTCCATAATTTTGGATTGATTGTTACATCTGTTGGAATAAAGCCTTGCATCAGAATGGAGTTTGGTTCTGGTTGTGGAAACCTACAGGACCATTTGTGATCTTTCTAGTGTTGTTTAGTCTCATGCACTAGTGGTTGGACAAATTACTCCTTAGCGACTTTCGAATTACATGCTATATGTAACTTTACTCCTTAGCGACTTTTGAATTACATGTTATATGTAACTTTTATTTCAGTGAGTTTGTTCGAGGATTGTTTTGATCACTTGCTTTCACGTGCCATTGTGCTGCTATCTGTGCTTGCTTGGTTCTCTAAGTATCCTAGTTCTCATGTTTGGTGGTCATTTTACAGGTATCCAACTGATAGTGACAAGCAGATGCTGGCTAAACAGACAGGCTTAACAAGGAACCAGGTAAGTTGCCATGAATGTAAAACTAACAATACTACTAGAATTTTACCATCGTCAACGTGATCGGCTGGGGCGGGCTGGCTGGCTGGGCTGGCCAGCCCCCTCACAAAAACACTGTTCATCTGAACCAGCCAGCAGTACGTCTCTCTCACGTAAACGAACCAGCAATGATACGAACTAGCCAACAACTATCAAAACAAATATGTTGTATTAAAACATCATTGTGTCCCTGATAAGCCCGTGAATTCAATGAGCAGGTGTCAAATTGGTTTATTAATGCAAGGGTGCGGCTCTGGAAGCCCATGGTGGAAGAAATCCACAACCTGGAGATGCGGCAGCTGCAGAAGAACACGTCGTCGGTGGACAAGAATCAACTCGGCATGCAGCAGATTCAACAATTGTCGGACAGCAGTGGGAAGCCTTCTGACCCTTCAAACTCTCAGCGTGGGCAAAGCAGCGGCATGACAAGAAACCTCAGCTCTCCGGCATCATGCCATATCCAAGACGAGCTCTCCCAGATGCCCCACGACATGCCAGGCCAGGTGAGCTTTGCTTACAATGGGCTCCCCACGCACCACGGTCTTGCGCTGTCACATCACCAGCAAGCTGAAGCGGTCAGCGCCGGCATTGGTGTTGGTGGCGTGGCTGCCGCCGGCGGCGGCGTTTCCCTCACACTTGGCCTTCACCAGAACAACAGGACCTACATTGCCGAGCCCCTTCCGGCCGCGCTCCCGCTCAACCTCCCGCACCGTTTTGGGCTGGAGGACGTGAGCGACCCCTACGTGATGGGGTCATTCGGCGGCCAGGACCGTCATTTCACCAAGGGAATAGGCGGCCACCATTTGCTCCATGACTTTGTTGGTTGATCTCGATCGTCTTAATTGGAAGTGTTGTCAGCATGCATGTATTGTATTATTAGAGGTAGGACAGTCGAAGAGACCATTTGGTCCATGCATCCAAGAATGCTGTCGATATTTGACAATGTGAGGGCTATAGATGGCATGACGTACCGTTGAAGATCTGTTCCAGTTGTATGTTGTAGAGTTGAACCCTATTTGTTCTAATCCCAGGTGATCGATTAAGCGGTGTTGACACATTGTACCACTATTCCTTTGACATGCAATTGAAGTGAAGGTTGAAAACAGTGGTTAATTAGTTCTTGCTCCTTTGCAGCTAGTCCCCAGTGCTCCTGGAGGTTGAGATGAGATGGTTTTTCACAATAGTTTACAGTGTAGCTTCATTGTGTAGCCCTAAAATATGACTGCTGGGATAGTGGACAGGTGGTAGCCTTATCTTGATGTTGGATATATGTAGTTAGCCTTTCCATGTACTCCATTAAACTAAGAAAGCAGGTTGGTGGCAGTATTAATCTGTGCCAGATCTTGCATCCTTAGATGGAGTACGCCTCCTAAAGCTTGGACAGGCCATGATTTGGCCATCTGCTACATGACCTTCGCAGCTCCAGCACACGCGTACGTTGTCATCACCCACACCTAGCTAGCTAACCGCTAACACTTGCTGTTAGGGCTGAGCTGTGCCTATTGGTAACCAAGCTTTCGCCTTGATTTACGCACTAAACAACCAGCCAATTAGCCAGCGGCGACATGGGCTACGCCATGATCTGGGGCTGTCCTGTCAATTTTTTTTTTTTACTTTTCCCCCAGGGTAAAAAGCCCATGTTACCTGGGATCAGTTATCCATGGCCCTCGGTTGTGCAGCGCCCGATTTGACGTACGCTTTGGCGAGTAGAATAACAGCTGGGGGGCTCCATGCACGCCCTTTTTTGCGTGGAGGGAATCCATGCACGTCACTGATCACTACTGCTGCTCAGGCTCAGCTTCAGCTCCTTCTCGGCGGAAAGCAACCGGTGTGTTCTTTGTTTAAAAAGGGCACTGTTGCGAGCTCCTTTCTCTTCTAGGCTCTACTAGCGCTCCAGTGGTGTGGTGTGGTGCCTGCATGGGCAGATTATTGCTCTCTGATTCTGCATGCCCGCTGAGCAAAACATGATGTGCTGCCTTTTTTCTATATGCCTTCATGGATAAAGCAGGGGTGATCATTGCCACTCATGGAGAGGAGGGAGAACTGGACTAGCCAAGCTTCAGATTCAGGGTTCAGCAGCAGAGCTTCATGGAGGATGCATGGGAGCTAGAGGAAAGGCTGCCGGGACATTCCGGTTTCTATGTTGTTGTAGGGGTACTACTACTACTACTCTCCAGTAGTGTTCGACGTCAAAAGGAGAACGCTGTCTTGTCAATTCAAGATCACGTTAACTCATGTCAGCAGTTCATGAGCTGTAAGCATCTTTCACCAGAGACTCGTTGTTTGGCGTTCGAGCATTGGTGACGGTAGTACTGGTAGGAATGGATCGGAGCTGTAGGTGTTTTGATTTTGAATTTGGTGTGGAGCTGTACTACTCTCTAATTATGATGGGACCAAGAAGAGGGCCAGTTTAGGTGCTTTGTTCCTTTTGTCGGCAATTTTGTTGCTTTGCTCAAGATTAGACAGATTAAATTAGCATATCATAAATATTTTCTACGTTTTGTCTAAGGGCCTGTTTAGTGCACTTTATTTTGTAAAATTTTTCAAGATTCCTCGTCACATCGAATCTTTAGACGCATGAAGCATTAAATATAAATAAAAAATAAAACTAATTACACAGTTTAGACGAAATCCACGAGACGAATCTTTTAAGCCTAATTAGATTATGATTGGACACTAATTGTCAAATAACAGCGAAAATGCTACCGTACCATTTTACCAAATTTTTCGTCATCTAAACTGGGCATAAGGTTTAATCTTTTCACTTTTTTTTAAACACTGATGCTACTAGCATACTAGTGCCTAGTAGACAACATCTTTTTTCACTCTGGCTGGCAGTGGCAGCTCAGAGCAACTGCAACACAGGAGGACATCAGGAGCAAATTCTCTTAAAATTTGTCATCTTCCTTATGTGCATGCATCCGAAACATAATATTTTTCCCCTATGAATGGTTGTATTAACTATTTTAAATCTTAACTTTTGTGACAAAGTATATCTATGATTGAATTATGAATTTTTTAAGTTTGAAAGCTTTTTAATATCAGTTGATATGTTTCTAAGGTACGTAATTTGTACCAATTTGTAAAAGCGCACCTGATAATGCTCCCGCTGCAGCGCTGGTAAGCCTTTGCTCGCATCCTTCTCTGATCAGTAGTGCCAGCTTCTGCTTTTAACGCGAAGAGACCTTTCCTCATTTCCTTCCTGTCACAAACATTTCTCAATCAAGTGACAGAGCATTGCAGCTGGTGTAGGTGCAGGTGCAGGTGCAGGGGCATGCATGGGGCACACCTGGGAGCGGCGAAAGCACCCAAAGCCTAATCCGCGTCAGGTAGTGGGGTTCTCGTTAAGCATATGTTCCTTCCACTCTTAAGATATGGCCGATCTGACGATCCGTCCATAGATTTGCCGTGCAATGCCATCCCCTCGTGGCTTTTGTTTGTCTAATCCGAGTGGCCACCTCCTCCTGCTCCGTCCGGCCGGCCGCGGCTGTCACACACCACACCAACAGGCACCACCACCGCCTCCTCGTCGTCTCCCGCAGCGGCAGTGGCGCAACGTGCTTTCGCCTCGGAAATGACATGCGGCACTGTGCCCGCATAGAATAATTGCTTTTCTTGGGAAATGCGGGTGGCAGCAGGCAGGCAGGCAGGCAGGCACAGGCGCTCTGAACTAGAACTAGTAGAGTCCGGGATTGGATGGCTTTTGCATCATGCACCCCCTCACGGCACCTCCTGCTCACCTGCAGCACTGGCACTGCTACACTGCTAGCCTGCAGCTGCCTGTTGCATGGATGGATAAACAAGTCATCGGGACTCATAGCCTTTTTCTATAAAGAAATTGTTCAGTTTGTTGGGGTTGCTAGGTCGGGTTACGGGAACCGAAACAAAATACGTACGTACTACGCTGTTCTCTTCTCATATCTCTGTGATGGCTGCTTAACGGTTTTCTTGGGCCAACACAGCGAATTTGTTCCGCAAAAGTTTGGAATTCGGCTACGGTAACACTTTCGTTTTTATTTGATAATTAGTATTTAATTATGGACTAATTAGGTTTAAAATGTTCGTCTCGTGATTTCCAACCAAACTGTGTAATTAATTTTTTTTTTCGTCTACATTTAATATTCTATGCACGTATCATAAGATTCGATGTGATGACTACTGTAGCATTTTTTTAAACTCTTTTTTTAACTAAACACGAGCTCAGTGACAAAAGAGGTGAAGATCATTTGCCAAATGTTAGCGCGTGTTTAGTTGCGTGAAGTTTGGATTTTGGGCTACGATAGTACTTTCGTTTTTATTTGATAATTAGTGTTTAATAATGGATTAATTAGGCTCAAAACGTTCGTCTCGCAATTTCTAACCAAACTGTATCATTAGTTTTTTTCGTCTACATTTAATGCTCCATGCACGTATCGCAATATTCGATGTGATAGATATTGTAGCACTTTTTTGAAAATTTGGATGGAAACTAAACACGTGCTTAGCCTCGATCTCAGCGAAAATATTTTATACAAATGATCGCGTTGCTGCAATAATCATGCATCCCATGCCACGTTTTCAATCTAGATTTTGACTTTACAGTAAGTCTTAGGCTGTCTTTGGCACAGCTCCTGCCCGCGGCTCCCGCTCCTTTTGGCCTGTACGTCACTGTAGCACGCGAAAACTGGGCTCCGGCTCCTTCTCTATTTGCCTGTGAAACAGACAGAGCCAGCGGAGCTGCCTCTCCCGGGCTCCTCCGGCTCCGCGTTACAGGGCGCAACAGTGTAGGAGGCGGAGCCAGAGGTAGTCCGGCCAAACAAGCTCTTAGTTGCTACAAATGTCTTGTCCACATGCTAAGTTCAAACTTTTATGCTTATCATGTCTTTTACATTAAATTATTCTTATATTACAATAAAAATAAGGATAAATTCTATATCTTGTATTACACTTTTAGGATCTGTTTAGAAGAGCTCCAGCCGCTACAGATTCGTGAAAACTATGGCCTCGTTCGGCTTATCCTATATTCAGTTTATTCGACTTCTTTTTTTAGCCAGAACAGTATTTTTCTCTCACAACAATTCAGCCGGAACAGTGTTTTCAGCCAGTTTCAGCCAAGCTTTAGACCAGCGAACGGGACCATATCCAGATTCTATTTTTCAAGTGAGGGATTTCTAGATCTACCAGATCCACCATGAAACAACTCTCGTAGATCCATAGATTTCGTGGAGCATCTCAAGAGATCCTCCACCAAGCTCAAGTTTGATGGAGTTGGGTAAAATTACTAAACACTGTCACTCGTTACATATCAGTTTGTTTCTATTTTTTCTTCTTTTTCCGTTCGAGTAGCGTCACCCGTCCTTGCCTTCCTCGTGCGCCTCTTCACCGGCTGCCACCAACCTCCATGGCTGGCCACGGCCGTCGTGCTTGAGCTTGCGATCGGCCACCCTAACCGCCGCCACCCCCACAGTGACTGGCAAGCCCGGCCCACCGCGGTTGGTGAGCACGGCCACCACCGCGGCCGAAGCTCATGCCCGGCAGTCCCCACGCGATGCCTCGCGAGGAAGATGAACTGTTCAATTTGCCCCCTGGATTTTTTTTTTATGATTACATGTGAGTCCATGTCAGAGCTGGAGCTGTGCCAAACACTTGGATGAAACGTAGTTCGATGGTGTTGCTGCTCCACGGTGGATCTGGTGGATTTAGGTGGATCTAGAGCTGCTGGAGCTCTCTCAAATAGGCCCTTAATAACTATGACAGCACAAACAATCCATGTTTCATGGAGGACCTTCTCTTAAGGCCGCTCCTATACCCATGGTACCAGGTTCTTTACATAATAAACTTGAATTCA